ATATTATGCTACCGTATAGAAACTTAAAAGGCCGGAACCTTTAGTGAATCCTAAGATACTTTTAAAAAAGACATCATGTATCTGACTACAATCTTCTTAAAGAAATGATCTAGTGTATTTATTCTATATCTACGAAAGTTTCCAAAATGTTGATATTTTAATAGCAGTTAAAATGTTGTCAGATTTAGATTTGAATTTGATGTTTCGGTTTCAGTTATTTGGGTACTCAAACGTAAATTTGTCGCCTCCACATCCGATGCGTCTGCTGCCGTGCCAGAAGAATTATCCGTAGACCGGTTATCCCGTGGAGAGATAGTTCAGCTGTGGTTTTGATTAATGCCTTATGCTCCACTAGGAGAGAACGACAGCAGTAAGGAGGTAAGTAGTTAATTTAATATTTTAAAACTGTTAGTACTTTCAAAATAATATCATTTAATATAAGGTAAGTGGGACAGTCCACAATCAATCAATGTCTTATTTTTGACAAACATTTGAAAATACCTAATTAAGGTAGTTAATAGATATTCACGAATTATAGATAATTAAAGACATTAAAGGACAATACCATACAAAATCATATTAGGGATATACTCGTAACAAGACGATAGTTTATCTACCCTGCTATCTCCCCTTTTTAATAAAAGATACAATCCTTTCTTTACAAATAAAAAGTAAAACCTTAATATTCTATAAGTATTTGTTGTTATATCCATAAATTAAAAAAATGCAGTAGAACAGATAATAAAAACAAGACAGACAACGTTTAAAATCAACTCTAATGGAAATAAGTTCGTTAGCTGGATGATGGCATCTAACTTCGGAATAATTTGTCAATATTGTCGAGAACGTAAGACTTTAGATATGTAGACATTGTGCTCAGTCTATAAAAAGATAATACGTTGGCGATTTATGGGCAAATATTAGCAGCTTGACTTAGTCATTAAAATATAGAGATTTATTGAAAAAGCAAAGATATCTTACAGGGATTAGGCTGGTACTACCATAGAGTTTTCTCAATGTGGGTTCTAAAAGTAAATAAAGTGATTTTGACCTAAAAGAACTTGAAAAATACTTGGGAAAAATTGCAGATACACACAGTTGGAAGATTATACATACCGTGTATGCTCTAATAATAACTTAGAACAAATAAATAAGTCGCAAAATATCATAAGATTTATTAAATCCAGAGTATGTTGGTATGGACTCGGATAAATTGAAGAAATTTTATTCAGTGGTGCAGCAAGTAGGTAGGAAAAGAAGAAGTCCATTATTATGATGGTGGCAGAATATAGAAGATAACATCCTTACTTTAAGGCTTACGGACTGTTAAGATCTAGCTAAATATCGTAAGATATGGAGTTGTTCAGCGAAGAAAGCGGTGATTAATCGCGAACCGTGTTGTTAGGACGGTTAAGAAGAATATCATCATAAAAATAATAATAACAAATACTTTTAAAGAAAAACTGTTTTGTAATTATAGTTTTAAAAAACTTGAGAAAAGTAAACAAACATGTATATATTTCAAAGAAATAATGGAAACAGTTTGTTTTTATTCTCATAAAAAAGTCAAGAAAAGTGTAAAACTCATTTAATTTTCATACATATTAATGTTTTGCGATTTTGATTTAGAAAACTGCATTCTCAGTAGACGATACTGTTCTATTATCTGCGGGTGAAGCAATAGATGTTGCAGCTTATAATGTAGAAACCGATTAATGGCATACAGAGCTGGGGAAAGAGATAACAAAGTTTAAATAGTTTAAGGATAAGTATACTTCAATTATAAAGGGTTTACATCAAAGCTGTAATTATAATGGTATACCTATATTATATTTAATCAAATAATATATATAGCTATTGTTCTGCATTTAAAGCTTCGCTTGAGAAGCGTTTAAAGGGAATGCGTAAAGCATTTGAAACCAAGTTTTTTTATGTTATCGTAGGTATCAACTCTATCTTACTGAAACAATATATTCTAAAGTTATATTAGTGAGTTCTGAAGTTAATCGGATATTATGGTGTCTAACTTATAATTCGGATAGTATTCAATGGTATATAAGTTTAGTAAATTTTTTTAGAGTTAATGTAAATATGTAAATATGTTTCTATAAATTAGTATGTTATCACGAAGGGTGTCTTAAAGCGTATAAAATTCTATCGGTACTTCGATCGGTACTAGTGACGACAGATGTAACTGATTAACTTTTTAATTTTCATAAATAATTAAATAATAATTAGTACAAAAATTTGTGTGATATTAATATAACTAGTTAGAGATGCATAGGTGCACAATAGATCCTTTAGGTCGGGGTGCATTCATAGCTTATTATCTAATAAAAATACAATTGCATAAACTGTATTGTTATCTAATTATAGAAGAAAGAAACAAAATAAATTAATGAAATTGATTATTTCAAAAATTAGAATTCATTGAAAAGGATATCTATTTTACATCTCACATGTATAAATAAAATTTATGGATTTCTGGAAATTTCTATGGATTTATTATTAGTATTATTTAATGAAACAATGCTATGATTATCTTCATAATGATATGAAGATTAATATCTGACAAATGTCTGGCATACATATACAATATATTGTATAATATTCGTATATAATATATATTTCTGTCGAATATATTAACACAAAATGAAAACTGTCTTAAATTGACAATCTTTAGACTATATTTAGACTATACAATACAAATTTATACAAGATAAGTGCTAAGATAAGTGAGTAATAAAATTAAAATTCTAGACATTTGTAGACTTAATAGTTCAATTCAAATAATAAACGATGCGATTTTAAAGTTAAAATAAAGTCAAGAGTTTTAGACAAAGGACAGCAGGATTACATATATATATATATATATATAATCCTGCATATATCCCTATATGCAACTATTTATCCTTGTTCTATAATAAAGAAACTGAATTGTAGATTTTTGGAAATTTTTCTTTTAAATGAAAAAGGAAAAAAATTGATATTTTAAATGAAATTAACTATAGTTGACATTTATTGCGAAATTATATTAAGAAATATTTAGAGTAGAGAGGATTATTTAGTTTTTAGTTAAAATTTTAATTCTAATTTTAATTTTAATTTAGTAATCATCTAATTTATACTATATTAAAAGTAAGCATATTTAAACGATTTTCCAAAACTTGGCTAAAGCCGCCTCGTATGTTTCTTAATTAATTATAGTTTTAATTTAAACATAAGCATTCAGTATTAGTAATTAACAAAAAAAATATTATATTATACTCTAAATCGGCTGTATAGCGAAAATAATTAGATTATTTGTAATTTAAAAAATTCGAAAAAAAATTTTATTTAATTAAAACTCATTTAACTGTTCCTCGTAATCTCCATAAGGGGCTTTTCCTATTTTATCAATTTATTCGCATTTAATTAGAATATGATTTTATTATCATAAGTTACTTTGGACATGAAATTCTATTAATAGCATTTTTTGCACAATAAATTTTATTAACTTAAACTTTATTAAAAGTTATACGCCATTAAGAGGCTATTAAAGGGAAAATTTCAATTATTTGTAACATAATTACTGTTCTTAAATGAATTTTGAAGGCAAGCTAATGCCTCTATTAAGTAGAGAGCCAACCAAATAATCCATTATGTTTACAAGTAAGAAGATGGATGTGACAATCCCTTACAATTGACATTCCCAATTACATACAGGTCATTCTATCTGTTTCTTGTTAAGTGCGTAAAACCGAAAAATTAATTAAATAATATGAAAAGCAAATATCCTTTCAGTTAATTAGTTCATTAGCCAAGTTGATAAATACCTACATGATGGACAGTTTTTTTAATATAAAATAATATTAAAAAATACATTATATTTTTAGATAATTAAGAAAATTTATTTATTTTTATTTAAAAATTGTTTACTATTCTTAATTATAATCATTCAAAAAAATTTAGAATGGAAAATATTAGACGTAGTGCTAAATATCGCCCTGTTAGTCGTAACCACAGAAGAAAGATTAATTAATAATATGGAAATAATTGTATTTTACATTTTAAGATAATTAAGAAAATTTATTTATTTTTATTCAAAAATTGTTTACTATTATTAATTATATCCTTTAAAAAAATTTAGAATGAAAAATATTAGACGTAGTGCTAAATATTGCCCTGATAGTCGTCACCACAGAAGAAAGATTAATTAATAGTATGGAAATAATTGTATTTTACATTTTAAGATAATTAAGAAAATTTATTTATTTTTATTCAAAAATTGTTTACTATTCTTAATTATAATCATTCAAAAAAATTTAGAATGGAAAATATTAGACGTAGTGCTAAATATCGTCCTAATAATAGTAACCACATACGAAATGTTAATTGTTGGTAGGCAAATTATTGCATATTATATTTTTTGATAATTAAAAGAATTTGTTTATTTTTATTCAAAAATCGTTTACTAATTTTAATTATTTTCTTTAAAAAATTAAAAAATAAATTAAAATTGAAAATATTAGACGTAGTGCTAAATATCGTCCTTATAGTCGTAACCACATAAGAAAGGGTAATTGTTGGTATGCAAATTACTGTAGGTCAATGCTCCCTCCACGAAACAGTTATAGGTTTACTAGCTGTTAGACTAGCGCTAGCACCATCGGAGTGTTTGTAAATTTGTTTGTTAATAATTTTTTTGGGTTATTTCAATAAAGTCTTTGTTAGTTCAAAAAGATATATAAATCTATATAGAATTGTAAATTCATGAATTAATAAACATAAAATATACATTTTATATAAAGTTTTAAAATAGCAGTAAATTAATTTATTATAATATAAGCTCTTAGTTACTAATAATTTTTTATAAATTCAACAATACTAAGTTATTTTAGAGCTCTGTGTAGCTCTCAATAACACAAAATAGTAGAAAGTATTTTTTTAAAGTTATGTGACTTGAAACCATAGAACAAGTTAACTATATATTCTAAAATGTTTAAAAACTTGTGGCTTACCAGGAAACGTTTGTGAAATGTCCTATCTTAGGATAAATGACTATATTTGCTCTTGTAATGATGGAACACAATTATTAAATATGAACTAAATTATTTTGTTCAAATCACTGTTTTTGTTCATATATATTTGTTATATATATATGTATAAACACCTAGATAATGATATACATATATAGATGTATATGGAAGTTAGCATTCATATGTATTTATTTACGAGTATTGATATGTATATATATATATATATATATATTTACGTTCGACAAATTTTTTTTAAATTGTTAACAATTCATTTTTTGTTTTTTATTTTTATTTATATTATATAATTATTAATTATATATTTAATAACTTTATTATTCACTTCAAAGTACGTTAAACACAACACTCACAAACTACTCCCGCCCTAATTCAACGTCACACTGCGACGGATGAGCTATAACTGGATTGTCTTTGCAAATTATTTTGCGTTTAAGGACGAAACGATATGAAAAATTTCAAGTCGTGTACATATTAGAAATAAAAGCTGAATTAAGGAGAGTAAGTGACACGAAGTACCTGTACAGTGAGTAGATGTTTTCCTTACGTGATTTCGACAACGGGGATATTTATATTCTGTACACCTAAGAAAGTCTCAGAAAATATTAAATTCAAATGTTACTACTTTATATTCATTGTTTGGCTTCCTACCGAAATCCTTTTCATATGAGTATTCTCTTTTTAGGTTCCTTTAATAGGTATTGACTTCACACATCCATGAAGAATATTTGGGTTTACTATTTTGTGATAGTATGTTATTCCGTAATAATAGACAATTCATAGGAATTAAACGTTAACTGTGTAATAAATTATTTATATGTTTATATAATATAGTCATATAAATAAAATTTTGCAGTGAAATTTCTGCAAGGACAATATTATGAAGTGAATGTGAGTTTGCTCTTTTTTGTCAGCAAGTCCATTTCAACTCCCTTAAGTGTGCAGAGAACACAATCGTGTACTCTCTTCATTTAGTTATTATCCTATGAGTGTAGAGTTTTTTAATTCCCCTGCAAGTAGAATTTATATTATCTAACCGCTTACGATATAAAATCTAAAGATAGTCACTTCTTCTGCACGTTTTATATAATAAAAATTATATCGTGGAGACTATGATATATTCTATTACAGATTTTTAGTTTAGATTTTTTATTATATTTACATTATATTATATTTATATACTTATTATATTATATTATTGTATATATTGTGTTGTAATATTATATATATATTATATGATTATATTTATAATATTATTATGTTATTAGACAGATATGATTTTTATTCCATTCTAGACATAATGAACAAATGGTGTCATGAAAATAATCATTAATGTTTTTTTATGCTATTTTAGATTAATTTTATTTTGTACTCTATTTTGAATGAAAATGTCATTTTACAACAATTTTTAATTAGAAAATATCAGAAGGTAGAATGATACCCTACTAAAGTTTAGAACTTCATTGCTCTGAACCCTGTGCTATGAGCGGGAATGGTATGTTTTCTTCGTGTAGCGGTGGCTTGTGAAGACTTTTGAGTTTGACAACAAATTCGTATAGTTCAAAAAAGAAAAAAGCACCTTTGGAAGTATTGTTGACTTTTGAGCATAACGGCAAACTTGAACCCTCACATCATTAGGGTCAGAACAATATTTCCAACGAGGGACGTGTTGTTTTACAGATGGAGAATTTAATTACCAACAATAGCAATACGAAATTAGAGTTTTAAGGAAATAGCGGTTCTGTCGGCATTGGAACTATGGTGACACCATAGTTTTTTATACTTTGTCATATTAGAAGTTATTAAGTATGATATTATTAAGTAAGTTATTAAGTATTAAAAAAGAAGTTTTAGGGTTAGACCAGTCTCACAAGTGGACATTGTAATTATGCACGGAGGCAATTTTAACTAAGATTTTTACATGAATAATGGTGTTTTCAGCATTAGGGCTATTTGATATATTGTTTTATTACATGTTATTAAGTAAGTGTGAGTGTAGATCATTTGTAGGAGAGGTGAATGATACAGACTCTGCTTTTTCTCTTATATAGCCATATCATTTCATTTTCAACATTTGATATTACGTTTTTAGCTATTAACTTATTTGTAACTTTGCAAAAAATAGAAGATTGGATTGTAGACCAAAAAATAGAAAGTCGGAAATAGTCTGCTCATATGTACCTATAAGGATATATTGATTACATTTATAATTCAAACTTTTGTGTTTGCTTTTCTTTAATTTCCACAATATTTTTATTATAAATGAATCTCTGTTGCATTTTGACTAAATTGACTAAAGAATCAAATCTTAAGTTATTATTTGGAAGAGAAACAAAAAAAAACGAAATTAAAAGTGAATAAATAAATTATAATAGGAGTTTTCGAAAATCTTAAATGGAATTTTAAACTGTATGAGTTTATGATTATTTTCTCTAAATGAATCTTAACGTCACAGTAATATTTTAAGTAGACAGCAATCTCCAGACAATTACTCCAGTGGAAATAACCTAAATATTTACAGAATGTGTTTCTACTATTACCCGACATAATAAAGGTTGAAACAACTACTTACAATCCAGAAAACTATGTACATCGTTATGTAAGTGACACTACAAAAATTCACCCGTGAGAATTTCTCAAACTAATAAGAAAAAAATTAACACCTCATTTTTATAGTTTTGCCAAACACACCTATAACTTCCTATAGAAAATTAGTTCCAAAGTGGGGAAAAAATATTCCGGAATTGGAGCAGAATAATCCCATTCTTCTTCAAATGATCCATCGGTTATGTGACCCTTATAATGAAACAGAAATCACGTAAAAATAATGGTTAAACTGAAAAATAATTTTAACAATATATCAAGTTTTCTTATATCTTAGCTCTCACCTTTTTAATTATTTAGTATTTGTTTTATTTCGTCTCTATACATAATTGTGTGGAGAATATTCTAAAGGTAAGAATAAAGGTTAGAATATTCTCGAGGTAAAGCAATAAATGTAGTTAGATGCGACCAAAATACATTGGGCTCCGCCCGTACTATTTTGGAGTATAACTGTTAGTAATACTGTGTCACTGTTAGTAATACTGTGACACCCGATCAGAGATATACACGTGGTACCTTGGAATCCGCAATATTTTACTGTCTTTGAAATTTGCGTTGAATCTTTCAGGGAGCGTCATAGTAATTGAAATGCTAAATGTAATATAGGTAAGTATTAGCACTTTTGCTTTCATACAATTTGGGATTGAATTTCCAACTGCGTGCTGAAGCCCACAGAACAGAAGCATATTTTAGGTCGATTTCGCTCATCAGCCAGGGAAAATCATGGCTTCAAGTATTAGTGGCGGAATTTGCTGCAATTGGGCATTGATGGGTGTTGATAGGCGTATACCAATTCGAGTGTTGAGAGCACAGTGGTATTAATCCACTACAACAGCTGATCACGTAAATCATTGTAGTCATAATCCATTTGGATAATCAAAGTATTATCAAATTTTCATGATTTCAATCATTTTAAAGAAAATATTTTAAACTCAATTTTTACTTGTTTAATTAAAAAAAAATTTAATAATTTTTTAGCAATTATTTTTATGAATGTATTATTTGGTTAAAAAATTTTAAGTCAAAACATAAAATTAATATGAAATTATACATAAAAATTGTTCGGTAAAACTGATCAGTTTTAAGTTAAACATTGATTATAATGTTTACTATACTTGCTAACACTATATTGATAGGTGTTGCAGGATATGGAATCTACCACTTAAAGGCAGCAGAAGTACCATTCGCTTATTCAGCGTGTGCATATGGACTATGCCATGGAATAATTGATCTTGTGTCGTATCTAAAACAGGAATGCAATTTTTGCCAAAAGATTAAGGAGATGTCTGGCAGTATTATGCGTTTAATGCCAATATCAATGGTAAACATAGAATTCTATTTGAAATCTGAAGAGAGCAAATCTTTAGCATTCTGCCATGCATTTTTCGTAGTTCCATTGATTTTCGAAGTTTTGGTCTCTTTCTTCGCTGAGGATGAGAGGGAGATAAGCTCAGCAGATACCTTGAAGGACTTAACAATTTTGGGTAACATTATATCTCTTATATTTTTATCATTGAACGAAAGGAATGTTTTGTATGGCGTGATTGCAATGATTGAAATTGTAACGAACTATAGCTACATACTGACGGAGAGATTTTATGATGATGCTGATGATGACCAATCCACGTTAGGTCATATTTTATTTTACTATTTTGTAATTAAAGCACTTTTGTAATTCAGGAAGCAATATTAGCGATTTGATGTCTTTGTCCACTTATATTTGATATTAAAGTTTATCACTAAAATTTAAAAATTAACTAGTTTTATTAAGTTTTTATTATTCCTGTTAAGAAAGTTTCATATATAATATATATTCATATATAGAGTATATGTAATATATTATAAATATTAATATAAATTTATGGATTGATAAAAACACTACTCGGTTTTCCTATGACACGGTGTACTGCTAGTATCAGTTCTTTTTTAACTGCAACTGTTCTTTAGCGATCAGTGGCTATAACATTTTAAGATTAAAGATTATATATAGTAAATTTAAATCCTTGAAATTATTAAAATAAATATTGATTGTTAAATTATTTAAGTTGTTAGCAAGCATAAACATATTTATTGTGATTATTTGTGATTATATGAATAATAATGTATGGGGAAAAGTATGTCTGAGAAGAAGCAGGAGAAAGTATCTGTATAAGGAGATGTCAAAATTAGGAAATACAATATAGAGATTACATGTAAGCAGTGCTTTCTTTCAGCAAGGACATATGACCTGCGATAAACTTTTTTGGTGTTTTTTTCAAAATGCTAAAATCGTTATTTACAGAGAAATAAGAGGAGCTTAACTTGTGGTGTAATTTTATTAAGCATTGTTATAAGAATTTCTAAATTAAAACTAGATAAAAATTTATATTGAAAACCAGATGAAACTTCTAAGTCTTTGAATGTAGTGAAATCATATCTTACAAGTATGAATTTTTAATCCCACATTTAGTGAAGGATGAAGACCCTTTGTAGAGATTTGTGTAATTTTTATTTATGAAATTTTCGGATTGATACTTTATGAAGTTAGAACCTATAGTAAAGAAACACCTTCTAATGCTGGTTCAAATATGATTTCTGATCTCTAAGCTTATTAATGGAGATTGCTTGAATCGGTAATGAATACTTAATAAAAATCAACAAATATTATTTTCTTCTAAGTTAACAATATTAAAAGGATGATATGATATGATATGATTAATTTTAAATAAGATCGGATAATAAAATAATTATGTTATAGAGCGGAAACTTAAACCTTAATAATACAGTAAAAGATTTTCACAGATTGGTTAAAATAACAAACCATATATGGCTGGAAAGTATTCCGGTCTCCAGGCAAGATTTAAAGAAAGGTATTAAACCAGCCGACTGTGTTTCAAAATCAGTAGCCTATAGTACTTGAACTCTTATTTCAATGAAATTTACTTATTAGCCCAATCAAAATAAGATTTTTGGTTTACTTTAATTAACTTATATGTTTTAAAGTTCGACCAATTGCTGAAAATTTATAACATGAATACAACACAGAGATCTAAGGAACGACGACTCAGTGAAAAAATATATCAAGGACAGAGCTCTAAAATTATACACAAAAGTTAATAAGCTGTCCAATCGCACCCTAACAAACCTGAAGTCTACGTCAGGATCTACAGGAAGCTATGCTGACCTACGGTCCGTTATCAATTAAACGATAAATAAACGATTTGAATTCCTGCATAGTTAAAGCCTAGTGTGGGGCAGGGATAAGCCCCCCAGCCATAAAAGCGTAAAAATGCGCCATAACACTATCTCAAGAAACCACAACACAACATAACAACACAATAACAATAAACTTATTTGTCAATATAGAAAACTATATCGTTAAAACTTAAACTTTAAAGATATAATATAAAATTTTTCTTTATAGAAATACTTATATCATTCTCATTAACATAGTTTGATTTCACAACACTGAAATCACGTTATTGATATTTATTTGTTTTCCATTAATATATTATTAAAATTAATATATTACAAAAAGAAGTTTTTTCGAACAGTAGTGAACTACAACAACAAAAATTAATTTTATATTATTTTAATTAATTGAATTTTTGGCTGACCATACAGCTGTTTCGAGTATTGTCAAATAGCCATCATCAGTAGTCTTAGAAATAATTCTTGTATTTAATTATTCGTAAATAATTATTTCTGAGAAATAATTATTTTTGCAAGTACCAGGAATCGAACCTGGGTTCTGCCAAATGTGAAGCTCAGAAGCAGCGCAGCTTAACCAATTGACCGAAAGCCGTACTTGACTTTTTATGTTATTCTCTGTTTTAATACAGATATACGATATATATATATATATACGTATATAATACATATATATACTAAACGCTATTTGCTATTAAATCAAGATAAGCTTTATAAATTAAAAACTATTCTTTAGTTTCAGGCGTTGTTCTTTGATTTCATCAGCATAGCATCGCAGTTCGGGGTCAACTATTGTTAACTACACTAAACGCCTGATTTCTTTGTTCTCTGACGACTGAACTACGGATATTATCTTTTACATGTGTATCTATCATTTTTCCTCTTCCCATCTTTGCGACATATCCATTTAATAAATCTATTAACAATGTGTTTCTAATTTAGTGTCTCTAACTCTTTTATAAAACGTATGTGGTATTTACCATATTTCAGGTGTGTGCGTCTCAAAATTTTTGGGATAACTTTTTTTTTGAATCGGAACAATTGTATTACTTCTTTTGCTTTTAGGATCCATATTTCGAACTCTTTTGTTAATACCAGTCTGTTCATTGTATGGTATCTTCATAATTTTACCGTCTTGCAATAGTCTAGATTTTAAATGTTTTGATTCCCCGAAAGATGCTAAGATTTTATCTTTTTGTAGACTAAGTATTATGCTCAGATATTTGGAATCTTGTAATCTTGCTATTAAATAGTGTCGGAATTTTTAAAAATACATTGTGACCGAAAAGTTTTCGGAAATTCTCATTTAAAATTCGCGCGCTGTATATTTTTCGATATTTTAAGTTTATGTAGTTTGGCAGCACTGTCCTTAATTACTATGCCAAAAATGAGCGCGATCTGTCAGACAGTTCGTTTTCGGCAGCTGTTGAAACCAGTTCACCTCAGTAGTGCGTTGCGAAAAAAACAATGGAAAAAAATATTGAACAAAGAGTTTGCATCAAATTTTGTGTTTCGAACGAATTTTCGTGTGCAGAATCGTTGCGAATGCTACAAAAGGCTTATGGGGAATCAGTTTTATCGAAAACTCAAGTTTATGAGTGGTACAAAGCCTTTCAGGACTGTCGTACGACCGTCGAAGACATGCCGCGTTCTGGACGACCTTCGACCTCTACCACCGACGAAAACATTGAAAAGGCAAAGGAAATCGTGTTCAAAAATCCTCATGTGAGTGTTAGAGAGATAGCACGAGAGCTAGGCATCGGTCGTGAGATGGCTCGTTTGATTTTGGTGGACAATTTGTGTATGCGACGTGTCAACGCTCGGCTTTTTCCGATTCACCTCAATTTGTTCCAAAAACACCATCGTGGACAGGTCTCGTTAGACATGCTTGATCGTGCCAATTCCGATCCAACTTTCATGGAACGCATCATAACGGGTGACGAGACATGGGTCTACGAGTACGACATGCAAACAAGCCAACAATCATCGGAATGGAGAGGAAAAGACGAGCCGAAACCGAAAAAACCACGCCAAAGTCGCTCGAAAATCAAGGCAATGCTGATTGTTTTCTTCGATATTCGTGGTGTGGTGCATCATGAATTCGTCCCTGAAGGACAAACAGTCAATAAAGACTATTATTTGACTGTTTTAAGACGTTTGCGTGAAAATATCCGCCGTAAACGGCCTCAATTGTGGAAGGATAATTCATGGATTTTTCATGACGATAATGCTCCCTCGCACCGAGCCAACATTATCAACGATTTTAAGGCCAAACATTCAATAAATACCATCGAACAGCCACCGTATTCACCTGATCTTGCACCGTGTGACTTTTTCCTGTTTCCCAAACTCAAATTACCACTCAGAGGAACGCGTTTTGAATCCATAGAAGACGTAAAACAGAATTCGCAGAGCCATACCGGAAAGCGCCTATAAAAAATGTTTTGATGATTGGAAGAAACGTTGGCATTTGTGTATCGCTTCTAATGGAGCATATTTTGAAGGAGATAAAATAAATATTGATGAAGATTAAGAATTTTGCGTTTTATTTAAAATTTCCGGAAACTTTTCGGAAATTTTACAATGTATATTAGTTGACATTGATAAAATTTGTTAATTTGAATTTAAAGAGCATTTGTCTGTCGATTTATCTGTATCTCGTAGTAGTATCTCCTAATTATATATATCATTTTTATGCAATAAGCAGTATTTTATTTATTCTTTTAAATATTTACTTCTTTAAAATTCTTAAAAGTGGTAATCTGGTATTAATTTTTTATCTTTAAATTGTGTTGGTTATTTAGATGAAAGGTTTCTTGGCAAGTGAAGTGTTATAAAATCATAGAATTTGTTTCAAGACATTACTTGCAAATAAGAGAACACGATTTTTCGGATGAACATTCTCCAATAAATGTATGTACTCTTCCTTTACCGGCAGAGTTCTCTTTTCTTGTTCTCTAATCTATGATATCGTATTTTGTCTACCCACATGTGGTGTTGAAAATATTTCCTCCTTTTGCTTCAGAGCACGGAAAACTTTTACTGAACGACGAATTTCTGCACTTCGTGTCTAGTTTTTCTTCACAATCCTTAGTTATGTTTTGCACGTCATGGAATAAATGTGCTGGTAAAGTGGTGGTTGGTTCGTGGCCACCAAAAAAATTTATTTTTTAAACAAAAAAAAAAAGAGACGTTACGTATTAATTTTTTTTAGTAAAGCAACTTTAAAAATATGTAGTCTTTTAAAAATTTCAAATATATTATATTTCTTTATATCTCATAGATAATTCTTGTTACTTAATACATTCTCTATCGCAAATATTTAACGTGTTGTGACATTCGTTCATCATACACACTTTGCATGACCTATCTCTTGTCACCTTTATTGCATATATATAAACACTATGCAGCTTTCCCAAATGAATAGAATGTCATGTAAAATGAGTTCCGCAATCGTCTTGCACATATAGAATTAAACATACTTTTAGGTTAGCATGAGATACTAAGTCGTTTTAAAGCCCAATAGGCCAATTGCCTTACTTGT